TGAGTGTAGTTGTGTGATGCGTGTCAGGTGGTTGTACAAATGGTTATGTGTTGCGAGTGCGTTCTGTATATATGTTTTCATCGTTGCGTCCGCTTCACTCCACTACTCCAATTCGAGTATAGAGTAGCCGGGGACAGCTAGGTTCTTTCATCATGGGGGGGGGGGTGATGTAGTGGAGTAGAGTCTGTGCCATTGGACAGGTGCGGAGCTGGCGGGAAAATGCCAGCGAGGCACGTGGCAATTTATTAAGGCTGATTGGAAAGGGGATAAAAACGCTAGGTGATTTGGACGACGGGGGAGTTGGCGAGAAGTGGAGACAGCATCGGGTAGAGAGAGATGCGAAGAGTGGAAGCCCGGCAAGTGTTAGTGGGAAATAGATTGAGAGCCGAACCCAGAGGACAATAAATAGCGATAGCGAGAGTTAGCATTTGCAGAGTGGAGATTACGGTATAGGTAGGTACAGGGAGAGTTATCGATAGACAAGTCACTGTGTGTGAAGAGATAGACAAGTCACTGTGTGTGAGGAGATAGACAGGTCACTGTGTGTGAAGAGATAGACAGAGTCACTGCGTGTGAAGAGATAGACAGGTCACTGTGTGTGAAGAGATAGACAGAGCCACTGTGTGTGAACAGATAGACGAGTCACTGTGTGTGAGGAGATAGAGATAGAACCACTATGTGTGCGGTGAGAGAAGAAGAGACTGTGTGCGGAGGCAAGGAGTATGAGCGGACGGTGCTGAGGGGAATTCGAGTGTACGAGTTGGCGGAGCGCGGAGAGGAGAAATTATATATATAGTGTGTGTGTGTGTGAAATTATATATATAGTCTGTGTGTAATTATATATAGTGTGTGTGTGTGGGGAACGATGGAAATAAAAGTGACGGTGGAAGAAAGGCGATTGTCGTCCGAGTGAATCCAAGCCACTACACAAGTACTGTGTGTAGTCAATGCAGACATTATTCCTTGCAAAAAATTTTGATTGGTATTTGAACATCTTAACACAACTGTTTTATTGCCAGAAAGGGTAAAACCTATTATTATTATTATTATTGTTTTCTCACACTTTGATACCGGCAAAAAAGGCGCGCTGATGTTGATTTGATACAACCGGACTACCCCTGGGGCGCCTGCCCCCCGCCCACATGAGCGGTAATGGTGCCGGATTCAGCAAAGGGCCTCGCCCGGTGGTTTGTGACTCCACCAGCTGGACCCTGAGTCACAGCCACGTGACCGAGTTAAACACGGCAACTCCCACCGGTGTCTCACAGCTCGACAACTGGAACGTGACTTTGAGACAGGAACACATTATTTTCACGAAGTAGTTTAAAGTGTTAAACTTAAAATAAATGGAGAAGCTGAAAGAAATATGAAAGACGAAGATAACAACAACAATCTCATGGAGTAGAGAGGCAGAAAGCAACGAGTTTACGAGCAGCGTTCCTGTGGTGCCACGACCACGGAGCAACTCCGAAAACGCCGCAATCCCCTCCCGGCCGCCAAACTAAACAATTAGCCACACGCAGCGCACCCACGTAGTGTCCTGATGGGGGGTTGCCTGGCACATCGGGTTTCAATCCGAATGGGCCCCTAGAGGGAGAGTCTCACAGTTTCCCGGTGCCAGGAGATTGGCCGACCCTCACAGGGCAGGTTACATTGCGGTGCCCCTAAATTGGCTTAAGATTTGTATGGGCGCTGAACGAAAAGGTTCACTGGGCCATCCGCAATGAGTTACTCACGACACTGGGAGAGGCGGAGGGTGGAATATTCGGCCAGAAGAGCAGACCAGTGGGTTAGAATTAATGAGCACGGGAGGACGATGGATGAGGGGCTGCAGCAGCAGCAGACCCCGTGGCCCTCCATGTAGACGGCACAGGTGAGCGTGCGATTGGCTGCACGGTACAATGCCACCCTGGGCCTTTGAAGCGAGGGGATTGGGCCACGGTAGAGACAGTGGAGAGGGACGACGACGGGGGGCATGGGTAAGCGCCCGATTGGCTGCGCGATATGACATCACCCTGGGCCTTTGAAGTTTAGAGAATAAAGACAGGTGCAATGGGACGGTGAGTTCAGTTGTCTTCAACCTCCGGGCAATCCAGACCCACTCCCTGCCATCCTGCCTCCTCGAGCCGCTCGCAGCATTCGTGCGATGCCAGCGAGTGCTGCTACGAGGCAGTGATAGGCGAGGTTTTCGCTCGTCCTTCTCCCTCTGACTCTCACTGTGTCCATGCGACGCCGTGAGTACAGCTACAAGGTACATGGTAGAACATTTGTGTAACTGGGCTCATAGGCAGAGCTACGCTAGGCTCTCCTCGCAAAATATTCCTCCTCCGGGTCATGCGTATTGTCACCATTAATAAACTATAGTTCAGAATATCGGTGTAGTGTGATTTCTGTGTGTGTTGTCAGAGCCTCGGTGTAGCGTCTGTGATCTGTGTGGCGTGTCTGCGTGTAGAGACGGTGTGCCCGGCGTGAGAGCGAGCGCGGGGCTGCGGAGTGGCGGCGCGGGGTTGGTGTGTGAGGTGCGCATCTATTACCATCTATATGACCGCCACTGGTTACGCGGGGTTTCGCATGTGTGTAAGACGCGCGTCTGCAGCGCCGCGTGAGTGATTAAGGCGGGGTCGATCCACCCGCTCGCTGGCGTTCGCACGCCTTTACAAGGCACGTGGACATTGTAAAAATAGCCTCAAAGGCGAGGCGTGCACCCAGGGTCCTGCCGCAGCCATGCCCTTTTTCGCGTAGCATTGTTACACAGCGGATGAGGGATTAGGCACGGGGAGGGGCGCGTGCATATTCATGAGGCTATTTTTAGCGCTAGCCTTTGTGTGCAACAAGCGCCGGCAGGGGCGCGCGTGCACGCAGCCACCTCCGCATCAGTGGTGGTGGTGTACGTGGGAGTGTGCGAGATAACCCCGGGCGGTGGTGAGCCAGCCAAGTAGCGATGTCCCTCAGAGAGGGCGCTGGCGCGGGGGGGCCGATCACGTGATCGGCGGGGGCACAGTGAAGTGGAGGAGGGGTAAGTGGAGGGGGTGGACGTCACGCCCCGCCCGCTCACGGGGAGCGGGGAGGTGGACGTCAGCCCCCACATCCCCCTGCCAGTTCAGTTGAGACGAGTTGAGGTGAGGTGAGTTGATGAGGTGAGTTGAGATGAGGTGAGTTGAAGTGAATTTAGGTGAGTTGACGTGAGTTGAGTTGATGAGGTGAGTTGAGATGAGGTGAGCTGAGTTGAGTTGAGGTGATGTGAGATGAGGTGAGGGCCCGTCAATAAATGACGTCATGCACCTAGGAGGGGGGGGGGGTCAGACATTTATGACGATGTGTGACGAGGGGGGGGGTTGAGAGATGTGACGTCACGTTAAAATGCGCAACTTTAAATAAATATAGAATTGTTAAAACAACACTAATTTTAATAAATGTCCATTATTAACCATTTGATTATTTAAATTTACTAAGGTCACTTTAGTTTATTCCATGAAGGAGCATTTTGCTTCTCCATGGGAGAATGGAGAAGCATACATTTTGAAAAAAATGTTAATGATTGTTATTAAACATTTTGATTCTAATTATTCTACCAGGGTTTTTCATTCTGTGAAATGAATCTGTGATTGTTATAATTGTACTCTCCATTTTACTTTGTTTTACTACGAAGTTAAAAGTATTTTTTTAATCGTTATAATTACTTTTATATTTTATAATTATAAGATAATTTCAATATAATATATGCTAAATTTCAGTTTTCCAACGCCTCCTTTTAAATGTTTTCTCCTGCAACATCAGAGTGCAACGCCACATTAAATACGCACTACAATGACAATAGTTTAAAGCGATTTGAAGCATGTTTTATTTTCAAAATGGAAATATGGTTTTGGGGGGTGGGGGGCATAGCTTTGTGACGTCATATTTGAGGGGGGTGTCTTACTTTTTGTGACGCCGTATGACGAGGGGGGGGGGGGGTAAAAAATCGTCCAAAATCGCGTGACGTCATTTATGGACGGCCTCTGTAGTGAGTTGCGATGAGGTGAGTGAGGATGAGTATTTGAGACGAGGTGATCTGAGTCTTCTTTTGTAAGCCACCCCTGGAGTGGAGACGTCTGTACTCGCTCACACGTCAACACATTCCAGGGCACGCCTCGTGACATGCAAATCAAACTGAAAGACTTCCTGCTTCCTTGTCACCGATTTACGTGGCTTGTTCCTTGTTTAGCGTCTCAGACACAGCCAGCGATTGCCTGAGAAACAGACAGAGACTGCCTGAGCTACAGCCAGGGACTGCCTGAGCTACAGCCGGATACTGCCTGAGCTACAGTCAGAGACTGTCTGAAGCTACAGCCAGATACTGTCTGACGTTACAGCCAGAGGCTGCCTGAGCTCCAGCCCGCGACTTTCTGAGCTACAGCCAGCGACTGCCTGAGGTACAGCCAGAGACTGCCTGAGCTACAGCCAGAGACTGCCTGAGCTACAGCCAGTGACTGACTGAGCTACATCCAGCGACTGACTGAGCTACATCCAGCGACTGACTGAGCTACATCCAGCGACTGACTGAGCTACAGCCAGAGACTGCCTGAGCTAAAGCCAGCGACTGCCTGAGCTACAGCCAGTGACTGCCTGAGCTACAGACAGAGACTGCCTGAGCTACATCCAGCGACTGACTGAGCTACATCCAGCGACTGACTGAGCTACAGCCAGTGACTGCCTGAGCTACAGACAGAGACTGCCTGAGCTACAGCCAGAGACTGCCTGAGCTACATCCAGCGACTGACTGAGCTACAGCCAGTGACTGCCTGAGCTACAGACAGAGACTGCCTGAGCTACATCCAGTGACTGACTGAGCTACATCCAGCGACTGACTGAGCTACATCCAGCGACTGACTGAGCTACATCCAGCGACTGACTGAGCTACATCCAGAGACTGCCTGAGCTACATCCAGCGACTGACTGAGCTACAGACAGTGACTGCCTGAGCTACAGCCAGCGACTGACTGAGCTACATCCAGCGACTGACTGAGCTACATCCAGAGACTGCCTGAGCTACATCCAGCGACTGACTGAGCTACAGACAGAGACTGCCTGAGCTACAGCCAGCGACTGCCTGAGCTACAGCCAGAGACTGTCTGAAGCTACAACTAGAGACTGCCTGAGCTACAGCCAGAGACTGACTGAGCTACAGACAGAGACTGCCTGAGCTACAGCAACCGACTGCCTGAGCTACAGACAGTGACTGCATGGGCTACATCCAGCGACTGCCTGAGCTACAGAGACTGCCTGAGCTACAGCCAGCACCCGTCTCTGAGTGTAGCCACAGGGCCATGGCGAGTGCAACTCCCACTGGTAGTGAGGCTCCAGGGGAGTTGACCTGTCCCATCTGCCTGGACGCCTTCAGCTGCCCCTGCACGCTCAGCTGCGGCCACTCGTTCTGCCTCAAGTGCGTGGAGGGCGCCTGGGATGCAGCAGAGTCCTTCTCCTGCCCACAGTGCCGAGTGACCTTCCCTCAGAGGCCCAAGCTGAACAAGAGCGTGACGCTCGCCAACCTGGTGGAGCAGCGCAGTGCTGCAGATTAATTGGCCACCGTGGTTTTGTGTGACTTCTGCAACGATGGCACGACCGCTGCCTCGATGACCTGCCTCAGTTGTGATATGTCCAACTGTGTGACTCATGTAAAGCCTCATCAGGAGAACCCGAAGTTAAGGAGCCACATTCTGGTGGATCCAGACACGAATCCTGAGGACCGCAAATGCAAGACGCACAGAAAGAAGATAAAGTTTTACTGCCGACAGGACGAGAGCTTGGTCTGCACAACCTGCACCATCGCAGGAGACCACAAGGGTCACGATGTGGCTACGTTGGAGGATGAGCACAAGACACGGGAGGTGAGACAGTCTGCCTGTGTGGGCGGGAACCTCTCCTGCGTGAAGTCATCATGTCCCAGTACAAACAGAACAATAACATCCAGCTATATAGCATTCCTCTCTCAACTGCCCATTGTTCCTTAACTATTTAACAACATTGATTTAATACAAAGTATGCTGAGGTTACTCTTTGTTTTTTTCGGTAAAGTCACGTATAAATAAGAAATAATAACACAAGCAGCCATCATCAGGTACAGAAGAGCTAAATTTGGGAGAGTGGGGAAACACATAACCTCAGATGTATATACAGACACCCAAGTAGGGGGACTCTGACACAGATACAACAGGGGACACAGAGAGAGAAGCATACCAGACAAACAGGGTTTAGCAAAAATTTTGGAACCATGTAAAGCAACACAGACGGTCGGTCAAAACACAATTAATGCATAGTCCGGTTGATCACGTTATTTCAAAGATTGCTAAATTGCAAGTTAAGTATCAAACTCAAAATACAGACCGCACACACACACAGACATCCAAGAAGAGCGAACCAGCACAGAGACAAGCACACAGTAAAGTCGCCTAAATAGGCAGCGAATGTAAGGCTGAGAGACAATGGAACAAAATTAGCATGAGGTATGCATGGAGCAGAGTGGGGGGGCGGCAGCAGCATGCTGATTTGTCCCATTGTGTGCTGCCGCCCCCCACTCTGCTCCATGCATACCTCATGCTAATTTTGTTCCATTGTCTCTCAGCTTTACCTTCGCTGCCTATTTAAGGCGACTTTACTGTGTGCTTGTCTCTGTGCTGGTTCACTCTTATCGGATGTCTGTGTGTGTGTGTGCGGTCTGTATTTTGAGTTTTATACTTAACTTGCAATTTAGCAATCTTTGAAATAACGTGATCAACCGGACTATGCGTTAATTGTGTTTTGACCGACCGTCTGTGTTGCTTTACATGGTTCCAAACATTTTGCTAAACGCTGTTTGTCTGGTATGCTTCTCTCTCTGTGTCCCCTGTTGTATCTGTGTCAGTTCCCCCTGCTTGGGTGTCTGTATATACATCTGAGGTTATGTGTTTCCCCTCTCTCCCAAATTTAGCTCTTCTGTACCTAATGATGGCTGCTTGTGTTGCAACCGAAACGTCGTACGCTATTATGTTATTTTATTATTTCTTATTTATACGTGACTTTACCGAAAAAAACAAAGAGTAATTCCTGCAGTCATGAAAGCTTCAAATGAAGTCTATGCTGAGGTTGTCATAGTACATAAATAATACATCCGCAAGTTATTACCAATCCTGTTTCATGGTAAAATTATAAATGTTCTCTTAGTATATTTTATAAAACTGAATGACTTTTATGTGTACAACGTGTTCTCAAAATGCCGTGAGTGCATAGACTGTGGTTCGTATGCAAAAAGTGGTTTGTGGTAGAGAAGAGCATTCCCTAAAATGTTAACGAAATGTAAAACGACTGGGACTGCGTGAGCCGCAGTGCTCACCGCTTGGTGGCCTCGTGCCGTTCTGTCCCAGTTTAGCGCCGCATTCTACAGCAGCTACCGGGTCACTGGACTTGGCGTTCCAGAAATGTCGCTTGATTTTGACAGACCAAGTATTTCGTGACCGTATTTATATTTTCATCAAGATTCTCTTCACCGAATTTCTCTGACACTCAACAGAGACATGGAAGCCCCTCCTTGTGCCATGCTCAACTAAACTAAAACTATTTTTTATTTAACCAAGTGAAGCTCACTGAGCTATGTAGCTCTTTTTCAGAGACAACCTGGCCACAAATGACAGCTCAACGAAGTGGCTTATCAGGTCTAAATGTATAGCAGCCAAATACTCCTAACGCACCTTCCTAAACCGGATGACCCAAAGAAAAATTCAAGCGACCATGGAGAGAGACATGCAAACTGCATATACACAGGTGTAGTGATATTGAATGGATCACTACAGCACGTAGCACTAAGTACAGTAGAATGAGGAAATATGGGTGAAGCGGCGAGCACACCATGCAGTACCACACAGTGGGTCACTAGCGTGTGTGGTACTGGGTGCTATCAGAGAGAGGCTGATGAGTCCTACCGACAGAGTAGAGCATGGTGTGGGTTTGCTGGCGGAAGGGGGCATACGAGGACGAGTCACCCAGGCCTCGGGTGAAGCACGTGATGGGCCGGGGTGAGGAATGTGGGGCCAAGGTGACCGATGGGACACGGGAAGTGTAAACGGGAATCTTCCGGAGAGTTCCTGAAGGAGGCGTGGTTAAGGGCGGAACCGGGCAGGTGGCACGTGCAAGATAGCCTGGAACCTTCAGGAATGTTCCAGAAGGGGGCGCAGCCAAGGGCGCAGCTAGGCCGCACTGAGAGAGATTAAAGGGAAGCCAAATGCAGACAGCCCAGATCAAAGATCGGGGCTGTCTGCAGGTGAAGTGAACCCAAGGTGCTACGTCATCGTCTCCGTCTCTGTCTCTCACGTCGAGTGTAATGGTGTGTAAGAGATAGGCATATTGTAGCCCCGTGTGTAACGGTGTGTAAGAGATAGACATATTGTAGTCTCGTGTGTGACGGTGTTATATGGTGTAGAATAAACGTTGTTGCCTCCTAATTAGTGTCTCTGAAGTGACTCACTACACAGGTATCAGGGTCGGATTCGAACCCACGACCTCCTGTATAGCAGGCAAGGCAGATAACATCTTACCACTCCGGTGCCCTGTCCACCCACTCCTCAGATAGCCCCGCCAACTTTAATGGTAGCCCCGCCCACCACTCTAGTAGCCCCGCCCACTGCTCAGGTTACCCGGCTCACTGCTCATGTAGCCCCTCCCACTGCTCAGGTAGCTCCACCCACTACTCAGCTCTCCCCACTATGCAGGCAGCCACACCAACTATGTAGGTAGCCCAACCCACTACACAGATAGTTCTACCCACCACTCGGTTAGCCCTGCACACCACTTGGATGACCCCGCTCATTACTCGGGTAGCCCCACCCACTAATCTAGTAGCCACGCCCACTGCTCAGATAGCCCTGTCCACTGCTCAGGTAGCCCCACCCACCACTTAGGTAGCTCCACCAACTGCTCAGCACCGCCCACTACTCAAGAAACGCCACCCACGACTCAGATAGCCTGACCCACCACTTCGGCAGACCTGCGCACGTTTGAGCTCCTCATGAAATCAGTTCTCTGCAGCCTTTGCTCCCCCAGCCTCCATCGCTGCACCGGGGCTTCTGCCCCCAATCACTGTGGAGGGGTTCACGTGGAGCGGGGTTGGGAGGGGATGCTCAGAGAGTGAGTGGAGTCTCCCCTGGTGACGTCTCTCACAGAAACAAGTGGGAGAGGAGACGCGGGCGGTGGAGGAGAAGAGGAGGGAGGCGGAGGAGTCCGTGAGGCGGATGGAGGAAGCTCGCAGGGACGTGCAGGTACCGCGTCTGGGCCGGACTCTGTGACCCCGTGACTCCACTCTGAGTAGTTTTTGTGATGGAGAACAACTCAATTCATTCACGTGGGCTTCCTTTGGCTCTAAACACGTTGTGAGACTAAAGACACAACGGTCAATGCGCCTCAATGATCAGGACGAGCAAAGAGGTGGTTCTTATCTCCACTGAGAAACTCAATCAGTGGTGGAAATTCCACATTCCCATATCTCCATACAACTTACCACTTCAACGACTGTTAACCATATTGGTCAGATGAGGTGGTACGTACCTCTTATCCAATACTCTGGTGGCAGAGTTGGTAGATCACACACAGACTGTTGTACACCATCATTCTGAAATAACTCAAGCTTTAGGGTAGCCAGGTGACAGTATAGCAAATAGTTTCATGATCCCCTCTCTTCATCCATACATGTGTTTTTTTTCTCACATTCAAAACATGAATTTAAAGAGGAATTGGCTTAACTTCCCAATCCATTAAGGCTCTACTTGTTGAAGGTAAATTAGAGATTTCCCTTCGCTTCATGCGACGGTAAATAAAGCATTGTCCTGATAACCTTGCACAATGAGAATGGCACAGATGCTAAATGTACTCATGATGGTATTTGATCATTTCATTGCCTCACAGGCCCCGCCAGTTATGGCGAATCGTGTGTTAGTGATCAGAGGCAGAGGCAGAAGGAGGCCTCAGTGTGGCAGACTCGTATCACTGTCTGCACACCTTAACAATTGCACTCGCGTCACACCGACCTGAATGTCATTTCACAAAGGACCAGACATTTAATGAACAGAGGTGGCATTGCTTTCTCTTTGCAGGGATCCATGACAGATGAAAAGGCCTCAATCTCGGTCAGATTCACCCGAGCGAGAGCAGCATTGGATGTGGAGGAGACAGCGGCTTTACAGAAACTGGAGCAGAAAGGGTGCGAGCTGCTGTCCCAGATCGAGAAGAAGATCGCTCACTACCAGCGCGAGATCAGCGAGCTCCAGGCAGCAGCAACTCGCCTGCAGGCCCTAGCGCAGGAGAGGGACTCGCTCGCGTTCCTGCAGGTGAGCGATGAGTCTCCAGTGTCGCTATTGGCACAGAGCTCTCTCAACAGCAGCAGCAGCAGAGGGAGGCTTCTGAATGAGAGCTCGCATCCACTAAACTTGAGAACACAGCTCCACTCACGGACTCGCATCGCAGCTCCAGTGGCTGCCATTTGGAAGCCCAGCTCATATTTTCTCAGTTAAATTAATTCTCTCTCCCGTCTTTTAACAGATTCCCATTAAGTTTGTTTCATTGTGAATATAAACTAAATGTTAATTGAATTTCACTTTTTAAATCAACCATACAACAACAATGTACACGGTATTCATGATTATCATCAGCCATAATCTATCCACTTATTGAGGAAGGCCTCCCCAAGCCATTGCCACATCTCATGATGCAGCGATGCAACACTCCACCAGCGCCTGCTCACGAGCCGATGTCATCTCCGCTTCTTACTTTGTGTACCTCCACTTGGATGCGCTACCTTCATTTTTCATATTAGGGATGCTAAAATAATTAGGTCTCATACACTAATTAATTACATTATTTTCTCTTGAACATCACTTCCACAAAACCTGCACCATGTGCATTGGTAACACCAGAAGTTACCAGTCCTAAGTTACTCTCAACACAGATCAACATCAACCGGTCTCTGAAATATTTGCCCTGCAACTCAGTGTTGGGGGTGGCGAGATGTAAACTACCTCGCCTGGTATACCGGACGTCGGGGATTTGAACCCAACCCTGACGTCCTTATATATTTGGAGTTTTAATGTCTCTTTCCATGGTTGCATGGATTTTTCTCTGGGTCCTCCAGTTTTTCACTCCACATTTGAAAACGTGCGTTGAGAGTATTGGGCTGCTATAAATTTCCACGTGATGAACCACTTCGTTGAGCTATCATTTGTGGCCAGGTTGCTTCTCAAAATAGCTTTATCACTCCGTCGGCCTTCCCTGGAAAAATAAAAATAGTAGTTTATAGTTGACTATCAACTGGTTTCACTCTGAAACATTTGCCCCGTAAGTCAGTATTGGTGATCATGGGGTCATAACCCAATACTTTGGGGTTCATATTTCACCCACGGTGTTGCAGTGGTATAGTCACAGTTTCGCATCTATCTCTCTCTCCCACAGGGGCACCTGGAGGAGACGCGCAGGTAAAAGACGACTATCACTCACGACTCGACACACGACAACATGGGACTGAGTGTGGGGTGCGGACAGTGAGACATTGGCTGTGTATGGGGATGCTGTGTCTGATGGTGCTATGTGTTATGTGCAGTGTCATGATAGTAATGCCATGTGGTGATGCTGTAATTGTGATGTGAGTGATGATGCTTTGTGTGATGAGTCTCGATATGATGGAGCCGTGATGATCCCACGTGTGATGATGCTGTGATGAGTGTCTATGTGATGGAGCTGTGATGATCCTGTGAGTGGCGATGATCTATGTGAGAGAGTGGCCATGTCTGTTCTGCTTTCACAGGACAGGGAGGGTTACAGCAGCTCCACCCTCAGCTCCCAGCCAAGAGGACATTGCCTCGCTTAAAGTCCTGCAGACAACTGTAGTCAAACTCCTGCGTGAGTTCTTCAGTGTGAAACATGGGTGATGGGGCACTCTTCACAATAATTGATCACCGTGTGTGTGCACGAGGTCGACTTGGCCTCAAATAATTACCTGGAGTTTTATAAACATCACCACTAGGGAGACAAAGGCGGCCAGGGGTAGTGCAGGCCACCCACCCCTCATGTGTCATGCCAGCCTTCAATGGTGCTGATTTTCCCCAACAGTCTGTAAAGGCTACACGGGGAATATTTTTTTGTTTACATCCTGGAACCTGATGCGGTGTGTCAACAAACTCGCCAAGCGAGACAAAGGTGATCGGGCGTGGTGCTGGCCACCCACCTCGTGTGCCATGCTAGCCTACATAGACTCTCACGGACAGCACTTGTCCCAATAGTCTGTGAAGGCTACACAGGGGATCTTAGTCTTTGTTCACATCCCATTCCCGGACCCAACTGGAGAGCCATGAGACTCAGTGTGGTGTTCTTGTGTAAATAATCAGCATGAGTCAGGGGTAATTGTGATGTTGAGATGCAGTGTGTGCCTGTGAATGTTTATGCATTGTTGCATGGGGGGAGCGGTGGCATAGTGGTGAGCACACTGCACTACGAACCAGTTACCTAGGTTTGATTAAACGCCATGGCTAACATCAGTGGCAGGTGATATCTGATCCAGTACTGGGCCTCTACGATGCAGTTTCAACCTCATTAGTTCCTGATGCTGGTAATGGTCATAATGATGGTGATAGTGGTCATGATGAGGATGGTGGTAATGCTGCTGATGTTAGTGATAATGTGAGTGATGGGAATGGTAATGGGTTTGGTGATAGTGTTGGTCGTGGTGATGGCAGTGATGGTCGTGGTGATGGTGACATTGGTGATAATATAGGTGGTGATGGTTTTGCTGATGGCGCTAATGGTAGTAGTGATGATATTGGTAATGGTGGTCATGATGGTTTTGATGGTCGTTGTAATGGTTATAATGATGCTGGTCGTGTGTGGTGATGTTGGTGATAGTGATGAAGATGGTGGTGATGGGAATAGTTGTGATGGTAGTGATGGTGGTGGTGATTGTTTGTGATGGTGCTAGTTGTGGTGATGAGGGTTGTGATGTTGCTTATTGCGATAGTGATGTTGATGTTCGTAGTGTTGATGATGGTGGTGATGGTGATGTTTATGTTGTTGTCATTGATGATATTGATGGCGAGGATGCTTGGTGATGTTTGTGATATTGTTGATGTTGAAGTTGATGGTTGGTGATGGTGGATGATGGTGATGATCGTGTTCTGTAGTGATGTTGTCATCGCTGTTGTCACAGATGGACGCTCACCGACTCTGTACACAAACTCAGCTTATAACCAACTCCAGATCTCCTCGGATCTCAGGACGATGACGCGGACTGGTGCCTCCCAGGGTCGCCCCGATCACCCACACCGGTTTGATGGCCGTGCACAAGCCCTGTGCTGTGAGAGCTTCTCGTCGGGCCACCACTACTGGGAGGTGGACGTGGGGGACGCGCGGCAGTGGCAGGTTGGAGTCGCGTACGGGACGATCCCACGGAAAGGGAGTAGTGTTGCACAGCTGCTGGGAGGGAGCGACGCGTCCTGGTGTTTAGAGAAACGTGACAAAATCCTCTTAGTGGTTCATGGTGGAGTGGAAACTGCACTGTCGGTGAGGGGGGCCCCCTCCCCCCGCAGAATCGGGCTTCACCTGCACTGGGAGGGGGGGCTCTTGGCGTTTTACCGCGCCGACTCCATGGAGGTGATCCACGAGGTTCGGCAGAGATTCTCGCAGCCTCTCTACCCTGGGATGTGGGTGGGGTGTTATGATCGATTGAAGATCGTGGATCTGAGTTGTGCATCCTGAGAATGGGGAGAGATAGAAACCCAAGACATGCAGGAAAGGGGGATGTTGAGGAGAGGGCGAAGTGAGGGTGAGGGGAAGGTGAAATGGAGGGTGAGGCAAGGTGAGGGTGAGGGGAGAATGGAGGGGACGGGTGAGTGTGGAGGGTGATGATGAGGAGAGGGTGAGGAGAGCATAGGAAGGAGGGGGTAGAGGGAGGGGGTGGAGAGGGGAGGCTATGGTAAAGGCTTACGAGGGGAACGTGGAATGGAGGGTGAGGTAAGCTGAGCGTTAGGGGAGGGTGAGGTTCAGGTTGGTGTGCGTGAGCAATGTCGCCGGTGGAGTACAAATCACCGGTGCAGAAGTTTGAGGGATTTGAATGAAATCTGAGTGGGGAATCAGCGCAGCCCCAGAGTCCGTGTGGCCGCTCCTTCACCTGCAGTGCGCGCTCGCGTTACCACGCCTCCTCATCCCTACGATTCACCATCATCATCAACATCATTATCACCACCACCATCAATATCAACAAGCACCATCACTATCATCATTACTATCAACATCACGAAAAAACAAAAAATCACCATCACCAAAATCATCATCACAAACATCACCATCATTTCCACCATCACCCTCATCACCATCATCACCAACACCTCCACGATCATCACCACCATCATCATTACCACCATCATGATCACCACCATCATTATCATCATCACCATCAGCAGCATCATCACCACCCACACCACCACAATTATCATAATTCTTACCATGATCATCACAACCATCATCACCATCACTCCAATCATTACTACAATGATAACCACCACTATCACCATCATCATCACCATTTCCTCATGTACTCTGTCTTGCCTAGGTGTAGCTGCAGCTAGTTTTGCTTCAGAAAAGCATTCTGGAAGGGCAGAAATTGCAGTGTCTGGACTCTCAAACATTGAAAACAAATTTCTTGAGAACTGATGGTTCTGTTTAGTTTGTTATCACCCCGCACCTCCGATTAGCATGGTTGGCTATGTACGGTGTTTAATAAGTTCAACATACATGCATAGAATCTGAATCAGCATTTTTATTTAAAATGGAGGAATCCAATGAGTCATGAAGCTCTTTTTCAAAGATGTCCAGTAGGGGCGGGTCAGAAAGTTACAATAACAAACAGTACAAACAACCGATATGAGTTTAAAATATTGGAGAGGTGTGCAAATCACTGAAACTAGATACATACTAAGTAAACAAAGTATATAACTACAAATTACATTCGTATATTAATTCCTACCGATTTTTCAACACTAAATGTAAGCGTGGGCAAGGCAGCAAAACAACAACAGTCCCAGATCACACCAAGACAACACAGCAGTCCCTGGATACAACTGCACATGATAATTTTACTACGGGTAAGGATCGAAGTTCCAATCACATTTGCAAATGAGGCTGTGTACAGCATGAATCTTCTGCTTCAGAACATTTATTGAGGGAAGATTTATGATGTTAAGAGAGGAAACAAGGTTGTTCCAAAAAGTTGGTGCTGCAACGGCAAAGGCTTTGTCAGCCATTCCAATTCTAATTGTTGGGATCGTTCACAGGCAATAAGATGGACGTCTTGGGTTTCTTTGGTTTGACAATGGGCTTCATGATTTAGCTAATTAAAGCACAGATTTACCAATAAGGGTTTTATGGATGAACAGGGCCCAACGTAGATTTAGTTTTGCATCAAGTGATGTGAGATTGGATTGAAGTCAAGGTCACATAAGTGGGTGCTGTATGGTACATCCAATAAAAATCGAAGATCAGAATGATAAATGGGGTTTAGTCTATTAAGTGTTAGATTAGTAGCTGATGTATATGCAGTGTCACCATAGCCAACATACCTTATTTAAAAATGTGGACGAGATGTTACCACGATGTACCTTTTTGATAGCGGTCTGAGATGTATCTCTGAAATAATTTAATCGTACTGTCTGACAATTCTAGTTTACTGTGTCTTGTGAGTAGAATATAATGGTCAAGAGTTTCAAAATGCTTTTGACAAGGATACAATGCCACGTTACAGACAGGAAATGCCGATTTGTCG